TCACTCATTATAAATAGCAAATTAACCCAAATTGGTTTAATAAAAATTATGCTCCTCATTGTCTTTAGTTATAGGAGACAGTAAGATATTGTCCAGAATAAAATACTAAATGATACCAATGAATGTATAAATATAACAAAATATCAAAGGATAGTAAGCAATTGTGACTTTCAGTCAGTCAAAACGACCCTTAAGTTATTTAAGAAATAACAAAGAGCATTATTTTTTCCTCATTTACCAGTTTACCAGTATAGATTTTTAGCTCCACCATTTCTTTTTATGTACACACACACACACACACACACACACACACACACACACACACACACATCACTATGATAGCCCTGCACTCTGGACATCAAACAATAAAATCTTTATGAGTTCAGAGTTCTACACTGAAATACAAAAGAAGGTCAAGTCTTTAGGTTGTGTGAGGCAAAGCAGTCACATAATTAAAAGCAACCATGATTTATATTTTGTATAAAATCTCTCCTCACATCTGCAGCAGTCTTTTTTAGGGTAAAACTTTGCAGAGTTGCATTTAATGTTCTCAAATATGGCATCTATTAAATAAAGGAAACATAACTCTGAGAGATAACTTGAAAGACATTGCAGACCTTTAAACTACATTTCTCAAAAATAATGAGTCATTATATAACTCATTTCTTAACCCTGGAAGAGCTATTAATAGAAAACCATGGGTAGCACATATTACTAAATCATTACAATAATATCCCCTCACTAATGGGAGATACAGTCTTAGATTACCTTAGTGGGTTTTTTGAAACCACAGATGATATGAACCCTTATAAGTACTATAATATGCTATAAATACACATCTATGATAAGATTTAATTTACAAATGAGAGTAAGATTAACAGCATCACTAATAATACAACAAAGAAATTATAATGTACAGTATAGTAATGTTTCCTTAAAGGTAACTGATTATTTATTTCTGAAATTTTCCACTTTGTATTTCTGAACCCAGTGGGCCAAAAGTAAACTGCTGATGAGAAAACCATTTTGTGCTCCTGAGAAAATCTTCTGTAGACAAATTGAGTTTCTCTAATACTCTGATAATAGAAAAATAGGTGCCTGGATAATGAACTTAACCAGCTTAAAATGATACCTTCTGTTTCAAATTAAAAAGATACCATAGTCTCCTGGTTGTTTTGGTTGATATAAGTCAGACTAATGAAATTCATTTTCTCTTGGCAAAGTGACCATCTTGAAAACTGTAAGGAATATACCAAATTGTGATAAACACCCCAATGTAGTTAGGATGTAGATATTGGGAAAGAAAGACACTGGCAAATCTATTCTTCCAAGTTATAATTAGAAGAGGTATTTTTTTAAAAATCAGATGATCATCTTGCTAAAAAGAAAACTTGCTTTAGCTAAAATTTAAGAAAAATTAAGTTGATATAACAAGAAATATATTCAATTTATGCAATAATACCACTGAGGACATTGCTTGTCATTTGGTAAGAACTTAACACATTTAGGTTATTATTATTGTTGTTTATAGTTTTGAAAAAAAATATTTTTTGTATACAGGCAGATCTATTTCTGTTTCTTCTCTACTCTATTTTGGCCAGACCTTTTCATTGGTTCTCTAGCTTTAGGCAGGTTACTTAAACAAAGGTAATAATATTTACCTTCTGAAGTTGTTAGAAAATTAACAACAATATAGAGAAGACACCTAGCACAGTGCCCAGCATATTAAATTTTTAGTAAATGGTAGCTATTCCTGTAACAGTCACTGTTGTACAGAGTTACTTTCTGCAAAAATTATGTAGTTGTAAGTATATGCCAAAACAAAACCCACTATTCTGTAAAACTATACACTAATTTTTTAAATGAAATAAAAATGGGTTTGTGTAATTACTTTGATTAGGATCAATTCATTGATTAGGACCGAATTTTGTTATTATTTGCTATAAGCTAACTCTATGTAGACCGTATAGCAGATATCCAGTAAAGCTTTTACTTTTTTTTTTTTTTCCGGTACCAGGGATCAAACTTGGGACCTTGTGCTTGGGAGGCAGATGGCGGAACCACTGAGCTAAATCCCCAGCCCGCAAAGGTTTTACTTTAGGGAACTACAATTATAGCAATTGTAGAGAGATAAAAACATTCCCTGAAATGAAAAAAAAGAATATGATGTCTGAGGTAAAGTGCTTGCCCTATGTTTTTCACTGAATAGATCTTTATTTTGCAAAGCTTTTTGTAAATGTTATTTTGATCATAAAAGTCTTTATGAAGATGATGTTTTATAAAAGGCAGATGGCATGATGGATCACATAATGGAAATAAGTCAGAATGCAGAAGAAAAAACACATATATTTCTTTTCAAACATACATAAAATATATTAATAAATAAAAGCTAAGTGATCAATGTGACCTGAAGAAAATATATTAAAAGATTAAAGAGTCAAATAAACACAATTCCTGAGAAAATCACTTTTGACTTACAGAAGAGAACATAACAAAAAGAATGATTAAATTAATAGGATAATTGACAGGATCCTGAGAGAGTAGACCATTCTAAGTTTAGGTCTACTCCATAGACCTCCGGTTTTAAATAATGAATTATTTGCCTCGTTTACCTGTAAGAAAATATCCAATAATTTGACCAATATTCTGCCACTAAGAAAGCTATTCTGGAATAAAGAATGAGGGAGTAAGATTCAAAGAACTTTATAACAGGATAGCCTTAAATTTGATTTGATGTATTATGTATTCTAGGAAAGATGAGCCAAGAGAAAAACAGTGCTGGAAGAAACCAGGCACCAATTTTTAACACGGACCATGGCTACCAGCCCAACTTTCAAGGTTATATTTAGATTTGGGTAAAATTTCTAGAGATCTTGATTCAAATGTTGGGCTTCAGTAATTGTGACTTTGTATGAAATCTAAAGTAGAAACAAAAATGCAATAGAAAAATCTAAAATGTGATGTAGGGTGTGATAAGGAAACAAACAGTCACCAAATGTCTTCTCTACATTATGCACTGACTCTGAAGTTCATAAAATCTCTTCAACATAATGATCATAATAATAAAAATGATAGTACTTTCAGGGGCTAGCTGTACAAACTTATTAGCACTCCGCATTTCCTGAGTGGCAATTTCATATGGCTTAAAATGATACATACCAGTAGTAAACTAAATTGGATACATATGGTGTCTCGTTTTATCTGTTTGGTGGTCCTATGCTGTTTCACAGCTGAGGAAAGTGGAGACCAAAGGATATCTTGTCCAAAGTCAACTGGAAAAGTGCTAAACAAACACTGGATCTGCTTTATTACTAAGCTATTCCATCTCTTCAAAACTTGACTGAAAACCAAATCCCGAAGTCAAGTAAAACACATTTTAGAATGATAATATTTGTATACATTCACAAATGTCTATGTACTCATAAATACACATTCATAATTGTGTGTATGTATGCATACAGTCTGTCTTCCACACGTTCTCTATATAAATACTCACACATATATACACTGACAACTTTTCCTGAAAATATTTTTGCTTTGAAAAGCCTCCTAAATTTTATAAGAATTTTATACTGCTTATGAGATTGTCTTAGAGGTTTTTATGGTCCCTTAATGAATAGTGTCTTCTTAAAACTTCTTCAGACGGGATACCAGATGATAAATAAAAAATTAGGCAGAGATCCATGAAAATAGAAAGGATACATATTATAATTCAGCAACAAATTTATTTTTGATCGTATGATTATTGTTTGTAAAATTGTGATTGCCTACCAAAGTAATAACGCTATTGTCAGAGCTTTAAAGTGTATTTACAGACTCGAGGGTTCAATGTTCAACTCAACAGAAAGCAAAAGAAGATATTAATAAATAAATATTCAAAAAAGTAGCCTAACTGAATACTCCACTTTCTAATTAGCTGTGATATAGTGCACATTAGCTATGGGGATACTAATGACAAACTACCTAACTGGCTGATAAGTACTTGGATTAAACAAATCACATATTTATAGTCAATTTTCTATTTCTAGATCCAATGTGCTTTAAATGTCCTTGAACATAATCATATTTGACATACCATATTTTTCTTGGAATATAAGCTTTGAGCATGAAATATTTTATTATTTGTTTTACAAAGTTCAAGTTGTATATTACTAGAATGGACAGAGCACAAGTCCATCCTCAGATTTTCATAGTTTTTGCAAATTTAATTTAGTAAATTATTGGGGAAATAGTCATAGCATTAGAATAAAGATTCTACCTCTATATAAAGTAGAATGTATTTTTATGAGATAGATTTTAAAAAGAAATGGGTATAGTCATTATAAATAACACTTTTTTATTTATAATGGACTGAAATTAAAATAAGGTAAAATAAACACCTCGGGGAAACCCCCTGAATATCATTTCAAAAAGTTACTATTATGAAGATTTGACCAAGAACAATTTAAGTAAAGAAATAAAATTGAGACTCCATAAATTATTCCACTGGAATAAAAGTTATGAAGGTAATGATTTGAAAGTCACTTGAAAAATCTGAGAATCTCAAGTAGATACAGTTTTGAAAGAAGAGTACAGATGAATAAGTAATGTGATACAAAGTATAAAGATATTGGATGCTGATTTTAGAAAGACTCGCAGCAGGTGGAATAGATTAAAGGTTTTGTATAGAAAAATCTAGATGTCTTCAAATTATATGCAATAAAATATGAACAGCTGGTTCTGTTTTATTGGTTTCCTTGTAAAAATGATTATTTTCACTCAGTAATTACTGATGGATTTATTTCCTAGATGCATTTCCTCACATTTCAATGTTCCTAAAATATTAAGAAGAGGTCATTCCTTGCAAGTAAATCCATTTGAAATGCTAAATTTACAGTGAGGATCATTGTGTCAAGTTTCAATACCTTTCAATCACTGGTTAAACATATGGTCTATTCACTCTTTTTCCAGAGCAGTCTAAACAATACACAGTGAAATAAAAACACTTAGATAATACCCACCATGATAACTGAGCACAAAAAAGCCACTTGTTGTGAAATCACTGTGGAATTTTATGAGGATCTGATTGGAAGTGCTGTACACGGATTCCAAAGCAGTATTGCCACTGAACTGCCCAATCTGAGGGGAATTTTGGTCTGGTCCATCCCTGTTGGGGAGAAAGAGGAGAGATTGAGAATAATTCATGGAGAATTCTGCACCAAGTTTAAAGAATATACTTGTATTATAATGTTAATAATAAAGATCCAGTGGATAAAATAATCAGTGAGTGACAGATCATATTGGAGTACTTTTTGACTACATATGTGATAATGCATTTTAAAATATAAAGTATGAAAATAGCTCACATCTACACCTAAATAAAAAGCATCTGCATTCATTGTAATGAATACATTGTCTTTTATTTTTGACCAAAACTCAGATTCTCTAAAATGTTTTGGGTTTGTTCCCCTTTTATTTTTCTCAGCAACATTCTCAGGAATCCTACATTGCTAAAGTTAGACTCTTATAACTCAAGATAGTAGTTCTATTGTCCAATTGCCAATGATCAATTCAGGGATTTTCTTCATATTTTTGAATGAATATGTTTTAATTCATAATACAATTATATAATTTTACAATTAATTATTATGACAGAAGTCAGTAGATTTATTAAATAAGTCTGATTTGAATATAAGCTCTTAAATTTCACCAGGTTTAGTAGATAGGTAGTCTAATCTTAATTTACTGTGATAATTGCTTGTTTTAACATATCAGTAATACCTTTACACAACCGTTTCACCTATGGAGCTTTTGTTTTACAATGGATAGCTACTTCATATGGTAATAAGCCAAAATCTATTTCTCTTGTTTGTCTTGTTCTGCAAAACTCATATGTCACCCTCAGTTACACCAATTCAAATAGCAGATGGCAATTTGTAAGAGAGGACTGTGATATATTTTCCTTCCTTCCTCGGTTCACTCATATATCGTTGAATCAATCAACAACAATGGTCCTAGCTTACCATACAGTAATGAAATCATAGATTGGTTCTGTTTGAAGGACAGTAAAATTGATGTAGATTCCATTCCCCGGAGGTACTCCCACAAGCCAAAAGCAATCTTGAAAGTTTGGATATTCATCAGGGTATCCAGGAGAATAAATAGTGCCATTCATTGCAGTTATATTCCCACCACAAAGAGCTATGGGAAAAAGATACAAAATAAAATGCTAATAACAATGAATCAACAATGCAGAAAAAGGCAAACATTCCATACACTTAAGGGATATAAAATGCATCTGTGATGCATATTTATGTCAGTTGAGGTATATAAAATGAAACTGACAAAAATGAGCAAATTATAGTCTTTTCTGTATTTTTCTTTATGAGGTATGCTAATTCTTTACCATTAATGATCACAAGAATGATAAATTTCTTTGTCCTTTCTTTTTTGAATGCATTATATCAATGCACACATTGTTTATTTTTTATCTCATATCATGAATATGTATCTATAAGCCCTTATAAGAGGTTCAAGATCTTTTTGATTAAAAGGGTTTTCTAGAGAAAAGTACTCAAATTCAGTAGTAGTTTATAGGTTACTGGTTCATAATAATGACTTAAATAGACACACACACACACACATACACACACACGCACACACCATACCATCACCACCACCACCCATACACACAGAAGAAAATCTCAAAATTAGTGACAAATTTTATGTTCATTACCAATGGGGAAGCACAAGATTCCTGCCATTAGTGGTAAAATGAGTTATTCAATATGGAGCTACTATTTTTTCACTACTATGGAGCTACTATTTTTTCTTTTAATAATTCAACTGAAAGATGAATTTCAATATTTTAAATGTATATTTAATATACTATTGGAAGAGGAAAACAAGGGAGAATGTCGACACAAGAATTATTAAACATGAATGATACCACCTAAAAGATAGCTTCAATGTAGAAGCATACCTTCACACCTTGGAAGTGGATGATTCCAATTACGACTGACTCCGTGAAGGCACGTGAGAGCTGAATTTCCTATTAAGGTGTATCCTGGGAAACATTCGAACGAAATGGTCTGACCCACAGTGAAATCATTGCCAATTACAAAACCATTTCGAAATGGGCGTGGATCGGGACAGCTTTGCAATTGATAGGCTAGGAAAAAAAGAGAGAGAGAATTTCTTTTTTGAATTTCACAGAGCACAGATGGCTACTATTTGTAGCTTACAAACTGATGTGACATTGCTTGCAGATAGGTATAAGTAATAATTCAAGTTTATGATAAACACTGTTAATGATGGCATGATATGAAATCATGACTACAATTGTATATTTGAAATGTTAATACAATTCATAAAAATGCATAAGTTTCTTTATGCACTTGTACAATCTATCTGCATCTGAAACCTGAACAAAAATGTAAAGTCCTCTTACAGTCACAGTTTTAATCATATTCTTATTCTCTTAAGTAGAATGCAATTGCTTCTTGGTTATGTTCCAAGCACACAAGAAAAGCTAATCATATGTACAAGCCTAATTCTGAGGCTTTTTAACTTTTAAAAATATTTTTCTCTAAAAGAAACAAATCACAATGCATCTCTGTTAAGTTTATCCAAAGAAGAATTAATTTAATAAAATAAAGTAGTAGGGAAAAAATCCTTCTAGATAACTGAAAATAAACTTTGCATTTCAATTATTTTGATGTTGTTGGCACTATCATATATGTATGCACATATTTCCATAGAAGGGTTCGCTTAATTGCATACTATACGATTTTCTGAAAAATCAACACAAAAATGGTAACTTTATAGGGCTATATAAATTATTCAGTTTCTTTAAAGGCATTAATTCAATTATAAAAATAAAATAGTTTTAAGATTCAATATGATTCACAAATGCTATCTAATCATTATTGTTATACCTTATGGCCCAAGTCAACAATACTATGTCAGTAACAAGACAAAAAATTTTAGATCTTTTATACTTTTGTTATGTCAATAATGACTTGTTTTTTAAAGAATACGATAACTGAAAAATGTAGAATAAATAACATTCCAATTCTAGTCCCACAGCCTTCAAGCTGTGTTATTTTGAAGGAAAATGAGAGTAGGAAAAGGAAAATGGAGCCGGGTTCAGAGTGAATATTAAAGAGCTTGGTGTAGGCTGTTTACGCTTCTAGGAAGCAGCCCAGTACAGTTCTGAGACATCCAGCAGCAAAAGAGAGAATCTCGGTTACCATTTGTTTTGAAAATAGGGTATGGCTAATTCCACAGTGAGAGCCAGCAGAGAGTATTTCCAGTTTACAAATAAGATGCGGGGTTCTTACTCTTATGGACACTTGACATACATCAGTGAACAACAAAATGCCCTCGCTTTTAGGGAGTTCACAGCCGAAATTACCAACTACCATGGCATCCTTTAATAATTAAGTAGGGATGTAACAAAATTTCAAGTTATTTTGATCAATTTTTGTCAGTGGAACTATACTTCATAAAATACATTCATAATTCAATTTTAACAGAACTTTTATAATCAGAAATAATATAATAGCAACAGTTAAACTTTACTATTATTTGCAAATTACATAATCTGAGTATACACATTACAAGTATTTTATCATATAAAATTCAAAATGACTTGCCTGGGTACAATTATGCTAATGACGAAATGATGGCCAAGCCCTGTGCCACATTAGACTAAATAGGGAGAATCAGCATTTAAGGTTCACCCTACCTCAGTCCAAAACCTATGGTCAAAAGGAATATCTCACTTAGTGTCATGCAGCAGTTTCATGTGGGAAAGGTTTAATATAATAAGATTATCAAAGTTATTTTTGTTTCATATTTTCCTGGCAGTAGAACAAAATCAAGGAGTGTCATTATCATCATATAAAGTAAAATAAAATAATTTTTCATACAATAAAATAATATATAAATATCCTTTTACTATTCAGTTTGATATAAAAACAAAGATGTATCTTTGAATCCAGTTTGCTTTGCTTATTGTCTTTCCTTGATTAATCTCTGTAATGACTTAAGACTAATGCAATCTTCTTTCATGGTTAGTATCATTCTAAAGATTCAGAAAACATTTGCCTGTGAGTTTCACTGTGTATTTTTAACAGAATACAGAAAATACTTATACATAGTTAAAGATTTCTAATCGCAGACGGAGGTCAAATGCACTTGCACATTTAAGAATTCTCTTACCTTGGTATACAATGTGAAAGCCCTGTTTGTTCTGTGAATAGTCACTGTGGAAATACAAACTGGTTTCATGGGTTGTGCTGAAAAGGGAAGATGGTATTTGGGGACCACTAAGCCGACCAATGACAGTACTCATTTCCGATGATCCACTTCTTACTTCCAGGTAATCGTGTATGGTTTCTGTAGAAAAATTGACAAACTGGAGATGTACACCTAAAAGAGAAAAAATAAAATTAATAATACTTTACTTTTTACCAAATCTCACACACACACGCACACACACACACACACACACACACAATCACTGCACTTAGTGTATTTCCACTTTGGTCAGAAATATACTCTCAAGTTCTGGGTCATGAGATTGCGGTCTACCCAGGATTATTAGCTGTATTAAGCTTTGTCAGAGACTCTACTCATTTTAGTCTTCTGAGATTTAATGAATAAGTCTGCCCTCAGTCTAGCACACCTTGGTAACCATGTACCAACTCACATGATCTAAAAAGCTGGTAAAAATAAAATTTCAGTGACAGTAGATGAGAAGATTTTATTACATGCAACAGTAATGCATGAACATACTGGGAGTTTTATTATTAGAATTAGAAAGTAGTATATCTCAATGTGTATTTAAATCTAACACTAGAATATCTGTATCTGTTCTATTTTGCAAATGTAAAAATTATTTCTTTATGAAAAACTAAGATGAATTTATTAGATTACTAGAAAATGATTTACTATTGCTCATGGAGATAAGAAAAGAGTCGCAAAAGCAAGTATACATGAAATTTGTGTTGATTTGGTAGTTATGTATGTCTAAAGCAGGCTATTTCCATATACATCTGCTATATTCCAACAATCTGAAAATTAGATAGATCCAAAGAAAGCGAAATCAGTTCATTAAAGAGATATGTGAACTCTCATGTTCATTGCAACATTATTTACAATAGCCAAGTTAGGGAACAACCTAAGTGTCTATCAATAGATGAACAGATTAAGAAAATATGGTCTATACCAGTGAGGGCGAACCTTTTAGAAACAGAGTGTCCAAACTGCAACCCAAAACCCATTTATTTATTGCAAAGTGCCAACACTGCAATTAAACCTGAATACTGAGGTTTCAGTTTAAAAAAAAACTTCTCTACATTAACATCTTTAGTCTTAAAAGAAAAACACAATAACAGAGCTTTCAAGGTACAAATGGCTTTTTATTGAAAGGAAAGTCTGCATTTGGTGTGCTTTTGCACACTTAATATGATCTCTGCTGTTGTATTCACGCTGAAAAGTTGTCAAACCTTGGTGAGTGTGCTGACAGAAAGGGCTCTGTGTGCCTGCCACGGCAATGTGAGCCACAGGCTCGGCACCATTGGTTTGTATTTATATAGACTATTCAGCCTTTAAAAAGGAAGAAGATCTTATTATTTTTGACAACATGAATGAGCCTATAGGATATCATGTCAAGTGAAATAAGCCAGGCATGAAAAGACAAATACTGTGTGATCTCACTTATATGTGGAATCTAAACGAGGCGAATTCACAGAAACAGAGATTAGAATACTGCTAGCAGGAGATGAGGAAAGAGAGGTGGATTGGGTGATGCTCCTCAGAATACATGAAATTTCACTTAGGAAGAATCAACTTAAGAGATTCTAGTTAATTACAAGGTGACTATAGTTAATTACAAGGAATTGTGTCCTTACAAATTGCTAAGATATTTTAAATGTCTTCACAACAAAAAGTGGTATGTGAGGTGATACATGTAAATTCCAAATAGTGTACATATTTCAAAACTTCATGTTCTGTAAACACATTCAATTATTTGTCAATTAAAAGTAATAAATAAATAAATAAGAAAAAATAAAATACTCACAACGTTTCAGTTATCTCAGTACACCAAGTGAAATACATGTAGCTTAAGCAAATGTTATTCACATTTTATTATTCAATTTAGATAATTATATGTGTTTCCAAACTAAAGTGTACTTGGCAAGCATTTTATAATTTCTTAGGAGATGCTGATATTTTTTCAGAATGTATTAATAAGTAATGAATGCTCTTTCATGTGTTTACAATATACATACCAAATCCTATGGGCAACTTTATTGTCCACGTGCAATCCAAACTGCTGGGGTAGTTTCCGGGAAAGCCAGGACTGAGGATCACACCACTGAAATCTGACATACCACCACCACACTGAGCTGTGAAACAATACATGGCCCATGTAAGCCATGGCAGTGGAATCATTTGCTATACTAAAAAACATTAAAATCATTTAAAATCTGTATTAAGCCTCTGAGTTAGAAAAGTTTTACATAAATGTGAATATTGTCACACTCATTCACCATACACTGGTAATGAAGTATATTTGGTTGGCATACATTTTCTAAAATAGCACAAAACACATCACATATTCTCAGAACAAAAGTTCAAGTTAAAAAATAAATTACTGCCCTACAAGTAACAGCTCATGTGCAGTGAATACAAAGACAGCACGGCCTTTTACAGAGTGGGTGGTTTATGTCTCGTTCTGAAGTATTTCTAGTAATGTTTTGAGTCATTCCAAAGATGATATAATTTAGAATAAAATCAACTTTTAACTCACTCTTCAGCTCTAAGTACAATATTCCAGAGGGAATCATTTTCACAATTTTCCTTACTTTTCCTTTTTTTGTAAGAAAGTTCAATAAAAACCTTGAAGGAAAACATTGATTTCCATTGGTAATACATAAAGGATTTATATGTTATATATGATATATGGCCTTATTTTATTCTAAAATAATAGAGAAGTAAAAAAAGTAAAGGGATGCACATATACTGAAAACTTAAGCAGACTTTATAAACATGTTTGTTTTGGAATCTCTATTTTACAGGTTATCTATGGATAAATGAAAAAAAATTTAAGAGCAGAAAGTTACTCAGTTTATTTTTTAACATTAAACATTTAATATATATCAAAGAGCAGTCATATTTTAGAAGCTCATTCTTTCTTCTAAATGTATATGAATTTTATTTTATTATACAAAAAGTATAGATGTACATCCATTAGATGTTGGGTAAAGAATCAAATTTTATAACTGCATCAAATTTAAATTTTTTCTGTATAGAACACTCATTTGCAATTTCAGTCATTTATTTTGTTTTAATAGTAATACATCATTTATTTCTTTTTAAGAATAGTAGCAGATAGATACCCAATTTGTAGGTTATATAACACAAATTCAATAGGAATTTTATCAATGTTCTATACAATATGCCATAACAAGTTTGACAGCTGTTATTTAATGGGATGATTGAATAAATCATGGCTCAAGCCGATTTTAATAATATATAATATATAAAATGTTGATTTAATATTAGAATCAATATGCATATGGAAATTTCTTTCAAATCTGTGACAACTATCAAGCTCTAAAAATACACATATACCTCTCCATTTTTTGAAATCTCAGCTCATCTATCCTTAAACCAAAAGAATTTTCAACATATAGATGCTACTAAAGTTCACCAATTATTTTTCTAAAATTTCATTGTCCACATATGCTCATCACAAAACCTGATAATAAATTAATTGTAATAAATAATTATGTCAACCTATTAAAGTTCACCAATTATTTTTCTAAACTTCCAATATCCACATATATTCATCACAAAACTGATAATTAATTATAATAAATAATTTTATCACCCAAATATATCTTTAAACTTTTTATCAAGACTATATTTATAGGTTTATTTTGGCTGTCTTCTGAAATCTGGGCACAAGACAAAGACCAGCTTTTATTTCTTGTATTCACAATTTCAAATCTTTGAGCTGCTCTTTTTCCTTCATCTTCTGCTACTTTCCATCTTTCTACATGATCTGAATATGCTATTCTCTGACTTACATATTCCTACCACAAATGAAATCCCTAAATCCCAGGAGGAAGAAGGGAAAAATTCAGAGTTAACCGGCAATGAAGAGGGAAGAAAAAGAATGACAACTCATGCAAATTGTATAAACAATGCTAAAAAATGCATCTGCCTTCTGCTCTTGGTTCATTTCTATTTCCTGGGTGTCTGTAAGCTCACCTATTCCTTGAAAGACAGTTCTATAGGTGTTACCAGTGAGTTCCAAGTACATTATTTTGTGCCCTGTTACATTCTTTGTATTAAGAACTTGACCATAAATTAGTCCTCCAAGATAATATCATCTTCAGTTTTCCCCTTATTCATCTCTAACATCTAAAGTCTCATATGAATTTTCCATCCATCCAACAAAATAGCTGACAGATTGCTTATTTTCCAGTTCACAAGTCTGCAACCTCGTTACCTGATGACCAGGGTTTAACTCACTCTCTAAACCCAGCCCACTGCCTCCTGTGTCTCCTTTCAATATGGCCACAGTGTGCCTCTGAAATTTTTACTTTTCTCACAAATGGAGTACAAGCTTATTGTTCAAAGTTTATAAAATACAAAAAGAAAAGATTAGAAGGGAAAGAAAAATGTCCTTTAATTCAACCCTCCACAGATAATCATTTTATCTTTACATTATATTTTCCTCTAGGTAAGTATGTGTGCATGACTATATAATGAAAATATAGTCATACAGTGAGTAGTGTTAAGTCATCTTATACTCAGTTATGTATTATAAACTTTGTCCTTGTTGTTAAATATTCCATTGTACCATTTATTTCATATTTTATCAGCCTATTCCCTATTATTAGACTGTTAAGTAATTGTCTATTTTCCACTCTAATAGCTACCACTCCAAATGCCTTATGTACTCCAGGTTCAGCGTCAAACACTTTAAACACATTCTCTCAATTTAATACTCACAATAAACCTGGGAGGCAAACATCTTTATCTTATTTAACAAGTGAACAAACAGAAGCTCAAAGAATAATACATTATTTGCAATTTTATCTTAAGCTGAAATTTGCATATAATACTATTGAACATCAAAGTCTGCTTAGTATTCTATATAAGTTCATACCAGTGTAACTTAAATAATAACACTTTAACTCTACAGTTTAATTTTACTAAATATCACTTCCATCTATTACTTGCTTTGTTAAAATACACAATAAGCATGGTAGTGGCAAAGAAACAGACCCGAGGATCAGTGGAATAGATTAGAAGATACAGAAACAACTCCAGACATACTCAGTTACCTCATCTTTGACAAAGGAGCCAACCACCATCACTGGAGGAAGGATAGCCTCTTTAATAAATAATGTTGAAAAAACTGGATTTCAACCCGACAAAGATTAAAACTAGACCCCTATCTTTCACCAAGCACTAAACTAAAATTGAAGTGGATTAAAGATTTAAATATTAAAACAGAAATACTAAATTTGCTGGAAGATAAGTTAGGTAGAACTCTCAGAGACATTGGCATAGGAAAAGATTTTATGAACAAAACCTCAGTAGCACAGGAACTAGCAAAAGGAATCAACATCTGGGTTCTCATCTTATTAAAAAGCTTCTGCACTGCAAGAGAAACTTCCAACAGAGTTAAGAGACAACCTACAATGTGGGAAAAAATTTTTACCAGCTGTTTCTCAGGCAAAGGTCTACTATCTAGAATATACAAAGAATTGAAAAAAATCAGACCCTCAAATTTAAAGACCCAATTCAAAAATGGACATCTGAAATGAACAGACATTTCTCAGACAAACAAGTAAAAGCAGCAAATAAATATATGAAAAAAATGTTCAACATCACTGGTCATTTGAGAGATGCAGATGAAAACAACACTGAGATTCCACCTCATCCCAGAAAGAATGGCTGCTATCAAGAAATCAACCAATAACAAATGCTGGCGGGGGTGTGGGGAACCCTTCTCTGTTGTTGGTGGGAGTTCAGACTGGTGCAACCACTGTGGAAATCAGTATGGATTTCCACATGGAAATCAGTATGGATCAGTATGGACCTCAAAAAAAAAATCTAGAATCAGAGGTCCCATTTGAGCCAGCTATCCCTCTGCTGGGTATCTGTCCAAAAGAATTAAAAGAATTAGACCACAGCAATATATGTGCACCCATGTTTATAGCGGCAGTTTGTAATAGCTAAAACTTGGAAACAGCCCAAATGCCCGTCAACTGGAGACTGGATAAAGAAGATGTGGTGTTTTTTTTTTATAAAATGGAGTACTATTCAGCCATAAAGAATGAGAAACTATAGACATATATAGCTAAATGGATGCACATTGAGGTGATACTCTTAAGTGAAATAAATAGGACACTCGTGTAAATACCAAATGTTTCTCTGGTGTGAAAAACTAAAAGTGTAAATAATGTTCAAATGGTATAATTAATAATGTGAAATAGGAAGTGAAGGAGTAGGGGAAGTAGGAAGGGTAGGGGAAAGGAGAGAAGGGAAAAGAAAAAATATGAGAAAAGGAAAAAATGGAAACAAGTTCTCTGTAAATGGGGAAGGGTGGAGGGGGTAAAGGGGGGCAGGGAAATGGGGAAAAAATAAGAACTAAGATACATCATGTAATGGTACAAGATCCCAACGAGGAATGTAACTGTATTTTATACCTAAAATGTACCAACAAACTTAATGAAAATGAAAAAAATACACAAAAAAATTCAGATTTTTTCCCAAAATGTACTAATACTTAATCTAAATATTGGCAACTTTTAAAAAATAATAATTGAAGCTAATTATATAGTAGGATGGGAATTATCATATAATACCTGGGTCTTATTTAAATTGGTACATCTAGGGGCCAGGGATTTAGCTCAGTGGTTTCACCACCTGCTGCGCAAGCACAAGGACCTGAGTTCAATCCCTGGTACCAAAAAATAAATAAATAAATAAAAAATAAAATAAATTGGTACATCTGAAAGCAATTTAATAATGGTCAACAAAACTTCTAAACAGTTATATCTAATGATAAAATTAATCTACTTAGGTAAATGTTTTTCTAAGGCTGGGGAATCAAACCCAAAGACTTCTATATACAAGGCAATACTGAATTGCATCTCCTGGCCTACTTAGGCAAAATTCTAAGGAAATAATTAGTTGTCTATAAAGGCATGTAACAATACCTATAAATGTGTTGTTTATAATATCAAAGGACAAAAAATAACAAAATGGGAAAAATTTTATAAATTAGACAATAATAGGCACCATGAAGCCATTTTAACAATCAAATTTTGAAAATAATATGGCATGGAAAATTCTTACAAGTTAACATGAAGAAGGCAAACATTATAAAGTTAAATATATTATAGAATCACTAATCTTTATATTTGTTCATCACACAACATATATGAGATCTCTATTTAAGAAGAGAATAAGCAGAACAAGCATATCTGGAAAAATAAGAATATTATGTAGTGTGTTTTTGTATTCTTATATTTTTATGTTCGAAAGTTTTAATGCTGAATTGTATACATATGAAACATGCACTCATGCAGTATACCTACTTTTTTTTTTTTTTTTTTTTGGTACTGGTGATCTAACTTGGGTCCTTGCACTTGCAAGGCAGGTGGTGGAACCACTGAGCTAAATCCCCGGCCCAATACCTACATTTATAATTGGCACTTTTCTCATAGAAAATTTTTCTCCAGCCTTTATATGTTTACATATTCAAATTGACATAATATACTTTTATGAATTACCTACTGTACCTAAAAATATTTCCTTTAAAAAATATCATCTATTCTAAAGTTTGAGTGCTTTCAATACTCTTTGCCTATTAAGCACATTTTTATTCTTAAATATGTTTCTAATACTTTCTATTAAACAATGTGTCCAATCCCCCAAAATAATCCTATGTTGAAGTCCTAACCTTCAGTATAACTGTACAGTGTACCCTCAAGTTACAACTGGCCTAACTTATGAACAATTCGTGTTATGACCAGAATTTTAATTTTAATTTAAGACCAAAGTCTTGAGTTATGACCCAAATGCCAGCTGCTTGTGCTTCCAGATGGTCTCAGATACAGATTTAACCCCTAAAGAGTTCTGGAAGGAACATGACAACATCCTTTCCTGCTTGGGGTTAATTGAGAAATCCTGGGCCAGTGTCTCTCTAAGGACACTGAGATCTGCCTGTGTTCAGGAGAGAGACTTTGAAAGCGGTTTAGAGGAGCCTGAGCCTTCAACTGATCAACTGGAGTTAAACCAGCCGAGGATCCACTGTATTTGGAAATAGAACCTTAAAGAGGTAATTAAGTCTGAGTGAGGGCACACGGGTGAGGCCCTAACCCTAAAGAACTAATATTAGTGAAGCAAAAGCCACCACGAAGTGTACATGCACGGAGAAGACCATGTGAAAACACAGTGAGGAGACTGCTATGGAGGCCCGCGCGAGAGGCCCCAGAAGGAAACAATCCTCCAGCAACCTTTTCTTGGACTTAGTCCTTCCAGAATTGTGATTAAAATCAGTTCGCACTCTTTGCCCGCAGTCTGTTTGCCCGTATTCTGCCATGGCACTTAAACAGACAGTGGATACACAGGTGTGGCCACTGTACAGCAGTCAAGCACAGGAGTCATGCTAATTCTTTCGCTTGCTCTTTTTCCTCCCAGGAAAGAGCCGCTTTCTCCTTCAGTGTATTTTATCTGTACTTAATTAGCAAAGTTCATGTAACTAATGGGCTGAATAGGTTTGTAACAGCCTCACTTAACATTCTCACTTATGAAATCCAATAGTGTAGTCAATTGCATCATCTCACACTAAATTATTCTTTTTAAGTCATTTCTTTTATTTCTACCCTTCCAAGTGGTAAATGGATTATTTAAAGATAGGAATGATACATCACATTTCTTTTTCTTACCCTGTAGAACCTAATACATTAATGGTTGTGGTAGGTACCAAAAGATGAGGAAGTGAAATCTCAAAGGGTGGACAGAAATAATTTGGATTAGCATTAGTGCAGAATGAACATTTAGTTCCATAATTTCAAGGTTCCCAAGTTATCTTTTGACATATTCAGTATCTCAGTTGTCTGTCACCACTGAAGACATCTGATAGGGTGTCATGCTCCCTGTCACAGATTCTTCAGATTCCTTGTCTATTCTGCTTCAAAATTAAGCAATGAGATATTACATATTTTTCTAATGTACAGGTATTTCTATCACGCCATATTGTGAAAAATCTATAGGAATCAAAGACAAAACAAAACAAAATCATAACATCTTTCTCAATTCCTACAGTTTTAACTCATTTTTTGATATTGATGTCTACGTTTTGAAAATTGTAAAAGTTTACAGATGTTTTAAAGTTAAACATTTATCTTAAAAATATTGCCAAAACACCTGTAAAAAGGTAAATTATATATTTGTACAGGATGTATCTTTTAAATCTGATGAAATATATAAATAATCTAGAGTCTTTCAACTTACCCAAACAAATTGGGATGGGATAATTCCATCTTCTGACCGGCCCAGGCATACATGTAATGTGAGAATGGCCCTACATAAAGAAGATAACACCGTTCAGTGAACATTTAGAAGAAGTCTAAATGAGATATAGCATACTGAATGATTACTATGAAAATAAGGTTAAATATACACACTTCAGCAGTTCGCTGTACCAATAAATGTCTGGAAGTGAATGGCCGCCACTTTGAGCACCTCTTGTAAATGTGGAGGCCAAAGGTAACTTGTAATCTCATGATGTCTCAATAAATTTAGTATTAAAATGTTTACACAAGTTTTTGTTTCCTGATGAATATATTTTTTTAGTGAACTCTGTGTATTGTCACTTTTACTTTTCCTGGAAATCCTTGTATGACTTGAAATAAGAAAGGTAATTATATATACTTATCATTAAATATTAAAAAACTGAAGAGTCATTGTAGAAAAAAGACTTCATATGACTTTAGAATTGTGGTTTTAATACTTTTCTGTAAAAAATGTTCTACTAAGTTATTGCAAGTCTACAAGTCAAAGGGCCATTTATACAGTAGTTAATAATAAAATTCCATAATATTCAAGGTGATACTGGTTAAAGAATTATTACAAAATTCTTTTTAAAAATATTAAAACAGGTTAAAGTATTGAAATATAAAGCTTAAAAACTGATTATGCTTCAAAAATATCATTCATTAATCAATTTTAAATATTATGGATTATTAATTTTTTCATTTTGCTTTTTATCCAGTACTGGGAACTGAGCCCAAGATTTCACTCTGAGCTACTTTGCCACTGCTTTTTTACTTTTTATTTTAAAACAAGGTCTTGCTCAATTGCTCAGGCTGGGCTTAAACTTGCAATCCTTGGGCCTCAGGCTCCCAGAGTGCAGGGATTAAAGGTATGGGCCACCCCATCCACCAAGGAATGTATTAACATGTTAAATAATTTCTATCTTCCAATTCTATTTGAATAACTTCATAAAGGATCTAATTTGAAGTACATTTCAATGACTTTATAGTACAAATTTTCCAAATAAACCTTCAAAAGAAGATATTGTGGTGGTTGATCTTGATGGTCTACTTGGTTGGATTGAGAAACACCTAAGTAATTAGTGAGCACATTCCTGGTGTCGGTGAGAGCATTTCTGGAGAGAAGTGGCTTGAGGGACAGCAAACAGGTGGACACCAGCCCTGAAGGTAAGCAGTAATCTAATAGGCAGGGTGGGGCCCAAAAAGGACACAATGGGGAAGAAGAAGAAAGCCTCCCGGCACAGTCAGTGCTTTGCCCATTCCTGTTCCCTCTCTCCCCTCTCTGACTTCTCTTCCTCTTTCTCTCTTTTCCTGGCTTTCATGAGGTGGGCAACTTTGCTCCACCACACCCTTCTGCCATGATGATCTGCCTAACCACAGCCCAGAAACAATGGAGCCAAGCAACCATGGTCTGAAACCACTGAAATAGTGAGTCAAAATAAATATTTCCTTTTTTAAGTTGTTTTACTCATGTTTTCATAAGACAAAACTCCTGTATACACACAAATATACACACAAAATATCAGAATATGCATTGCAAATCCAAAATGTATTTGTTGAGGATTTGTCCTAATTTGGAGATTTTATTATTATGGAAGTTCTATTTAATGTTTTCTATAGTACTTCATTTTATTTCCAAATTCTAAACATTCAGGAGTTAAACTGTCAAAATCCTATCTGAAAGGTGACAGAAATGAAGTAAAGATCAGTTCTGACTCAAAATCATTTTGGTTATTTCCAAACAAAACAAATTCAGTACATGCCAGCATTTTCTCTCACTAACACTCTTTAACTTAAGAATAAACTAGCAACCGAGGGTGAAGAATTTTGAAACACCTATGGATGATCAATCATTGACCTGTTAAAATGCTCTAAAAAGATAATGAGAACAAAAGCTGTGATATTAAAATAGACTTACCTGAAGAGAATAGCCTTGATCACACTGGAAGGATACCACATCACCAACCATGTATCTGTCTCCAATTTTAATTCCACTGCTAGGAGTTTGTGGCTCAGGACAAGAATCCAAACCAATTGCTAAGAACATTTAAAAATAGTAATCTAAGTAACTAAAACAAAGAACACTTAAATTATGTATATTAATTTGCACAGATTGAATACTGGTGTCATAGCAAATGACATTTTATGTTGATACACTGATAAGTTTCTGTGACAATTACTGAAAAGTGTATTGGAATTCCGTTATAGAACTATACCTTTTGAACTTTCACAGCACCAACAAATAAATAGCTTTGCGATTATACTTAAATTATTTTTCCAGTCCAGATATAACTGTCTTCTATAAAGAAACAAAAATAAAAGTTCCTAAAAAGAAAATCCCTAAATGAAAACAAAAATAAAATACAGTATGTTTATAAAACCAGGGATGGTGGTATAGACCCTTCTCCCCAGATACTCAGAAGGCTGAGGCAGAAGGACTGCTTGAAACCAAGAGTATGAGGTCAGCCAGGCAACACAGTAGAAGACTCCCTTCTTCAATAAATAAATAAATAAATTAATTAATTAAGAAAGTTATTTTCTTAAAAAATGGCTAGGGGCATAGCCCATTAGGAAAGATCTGGCTTAACATAAATGAGGCCCTGGGGCCTCGATAAATGAGGCTCCATCACAGCAGCACCATCCCTCTGCCTCCACCAAAAAATGAAAGAGAGAGAGAGAGAAAGAAGAATCACCAAAACATTTTTAGTAAAATGAGTAATAAATTACTTACTATTTTGTCCCTATTGCCTACTTTATTCTTTATTTACACAATAAGGTTTTGTTTTTTACTTGTAAGGAGTATTTTCATCTATTTATTGTATGTACAACATAAAAATATAATTATGTACTTAATGTATGTGCAACATAAAATTATTTGTAAGGAATATTTTCTCTACAACAGAAAATTATAATTATGTACTTATTGTATGGACAACATAAAAATATAGTATTTTTCTCCAAAGATACTATAATTAGAAAGAACAAAAATATGTGTTTCATTGAGATGTAAAAAGTATTATCTCATTTTTTTTTTCTGAGAGGGAGCTGATAATATATTTCAAAACATTTCTATGATTTTTACATTAAGAATTTATTTTTCAACATAAAAGAATAAAAACAGTAAATATAAGGTTATCACAAATTATTTGTTTTTCCAAAATGTTTTTCAATTATATGACTGTTGCTATTAAACACTTTTTATTTTTAATAAAATCTACTGCTTGTTTTGTATTTCTTTGTAAGACAGTTTGAAACAAATCTAATGCATAGTTTAATGGTTTGCAGATCACCATTCCAAATCATTACATTTTTTTTTAATTTAAAAAGCATTCAGAATTCAACACTATAGTACAAAAATATCTTATGCATCCCTTCATTCTTTGGCTAAGTTATTTCTCTTTGATAGATGGTCTCAGCATCACCCTCAATATTTCCTCTACATTTCCTGTTATTGAACAAACAATTGTGCAACTGTTGGTTCAACATTTATCTCCACTATACAAATGGAAAGGGTAGCCAGTTAGAGGACAGAGTTGTAAGGAGGTAGCCCAGAAACACTGCTGACACAAATGAAAGTAGGGTGTAGAAAAGAGAGTAAACCTACATCTTGATTATTTATTAATAAACATAGAAATCTAATTCTCAGATGGAAGATATCTAATAACACAGAGTAGCTTAAATTGTGCCATACTGAAGCACATAAAATGGCATAAAAAACACTGACTTGATAGAGTTATGAATCGATTAGAAAGTAAAGCCATAAAGAGCAGGAGTAAAACTCTCCTTTGGGAGCTCTGTGAGGCTGCCTTGACACAGAAGGGAACCTACAGCTCAATCTGACGCCCTTAAAGCTTCTCGGCGTGCTTTAAGTTCCATATTTCTTGGTGGGTTTGAAATCTTGAATTTATGGACCTACTGATAACTGGTTATTACTAAATTGTAACCTACTTTTAATTTGGAGGGTTGTTAACTCTGGCTTCTGCAACTAGTTTTTGAGATCCAAAAAGCGGTAGATACTGTCTTCCACACGTGTTGAAATCTCATTTAATAGCCAGAAAGAGGCCTCGCATGTTAAATTCATCTGATTTCACAGAACTGTTTCCAGAAATTACTCTGTACAAAAAGTGAGTTATGATATACACATGTATATATTTCATTATGATTTCACTTTCCTTTGGTACATTCTTAGTTTCTTGGATGTTCCGAACAGTATATTTATTACTTTTCCTATTCAGGCTATTCCTGTAGTCATTCTTACTCAGAGAACATTTTATGCACATTTATTTCTCTTCTTTTTTCTATCAAGTGCCCCATTCAAGGTCTCATATACAGAAAGCAATCTCTGTTTAGAAGTAGTGATTTCATTCCCTGTGTGTAGGTTGAATAAAACTGCAAGACAGCGATGTCGTGGAATACTGAAACCCTTATTTTTAAACAAAACTTTTAGATAGTAGATAGGAACATGGTAAAATGTTTATGAAAGTGTTAACTTTAAAACGGTTAACAATGTTTAAAGATCTCATCTTTAAAAACAAAACTCCATAAACTATGTGGTAACGATTTTATAAGTTCAAAAATCTTATATGCATGTATTTCATAGTGAAAAAGCATCAAAAGGAATTATGCCGAGTAAGGGTGGATGGCTATGATTTTTGGTGGGAAGGTTACTGGCAGTTTGTATGCATCCTCTGTACTTTCCTGCATTTCCAAATTTCTTACAATAACATGAGCTACTATTATAAACAATAAAATAACATCAATTAGATTAATACTAGCAGAGAATTTGGGGTCGCAAGCACATCTTCCTTTCTATTTTTCTAGAAGAGACTGAGTTTGACTAGTTAATTTCTGTTGATGGTGATTACTTCAAGGAAGAAAGCAAATAATTAAGCAATCAGAAAAGCCAGACCCATCACATGTTGACAACCTCAGTCATTTTTGGTTTGTTTCTTTGTTTACTTGTTTGTTTGTTTGCCAGCCAATTGTTTTTACATGGACTACAGAAAGAAAAGCTGAAATACGTGAAAAATCTGCAACTGAAAATTTACAGCCATTTTTATCTAAGCAAATAAAAACTATGTTTAAATATTAACTTAAAATATTCTCCTCAAGAATTATTTTTCATTTGTTAAAGTACTAGAATCAAGAGGATATTTACAGGACTCAACAGAAAATATTTTTGCAAAAATCCTGCAAAGACGTCCCTTTTTCTTAACCAAGGCTATTATTTTGCTTAACAATGACAAAATAATGCTCCATTTGGAGCTTCATGTGTGTAAATTCAGTAAAATTATCCCTTTGGCATTCAAAGGTGCACTCTGGGAGAAATTTTCTAATGAGATTGGATCAATTAATCTCCTGTTGCTGCCAAAAACAAATAGAAATGGATCCAGGACAAATCTGTATCAAAAATCGCAGAGCGGTGTCTGCTGTCATATTATTGCGGCCTGTTACCCTGACTAAAAATACTAAATCATCATTTCCCCATATTACAAATATTTATTTGTAATCGGAAATTATTCTTTGCAATTCTGCTTACAAGACAATCAATCTGGAGCACAAAATGTTGTTAATGATATCATGTATAGCTGATAATTCTGTGTGCAAATATATGTGACTATACATATACACATTTGTGTGTGTTTAAGATTAAAAGGTTTCACTAAAATGCCCTTCAATACCTGCAGAAGCAAAATATGAAAAACTGTTATATAAAGTGACAAAACCTTAAAGAACTTCAGTCTTTTGAATGAATCAAATAAAGAAGCTTCTACGTGCAACAAAATGTTATTGGCTTTACTGCAAGAAAACCCGGAAGACTGAGAGCAGTGTTATTACCTCAAGATATAACTATAGGAGTTAATAAGGAAAAAACATGGAATCCAGAAACTTAAAACTGTTTGTGTCATCTACAAAAAGAGGCAAATGATAAATTAAATGATATGGAAATAAAATTTGATGAAAATTTGATGAAATTAAATTTGATGAAAACAAATTATGATTAATATTTAAGGAACTTATAGGTTTTAGGAGAGAAATGTGTTTATAAAGACTAATTACACATGTATGCCATATATTCTGAGTTAATGACAACTGAAATTGGAAATGACAGATACTAATAATTTAATATAGGCAGGAGGTGTTTCTCAATTTAATAGTTTATGAGACATTGATATGCATAAACTAGTTCAAACAAGAAAATTAGTCTAAGTAAAATACAATTAATCTTAAAATCCTTGTTTTTCTCAAATAATCCATTATATAATTAGCCCAATGGAGGAGACCATATTTAGTAATTATAATACTAAACTCATTAAAAACTAATATATTATCTGTTTTAAATTTTGCTTGAGGGTGGAAAGCAGTAAAACAATGGTTGTGTTCAATCAAATCTTTTATTATCTATAAGATACAGTCAATGGATAAATTACTGGGCATTTACTATTTTATGACTACTGTGATAGATTTAGGTATTCAAAGCAGCCCTGCAACTATTGCACAGTATGGAAAGATGCCTAATTAGCTCCTGAGTTATCCCAGCATTTACAGCCAACTTACTGGTGGAAAATATGCATACTCTGGGGTGTGTGGAGGAGAGAAAAAGCTATTCATTATGTAACAGACATTTGCCTTCCAAGGACAATGTACTGAAATCACGGAGGGCCTCTAATGTTCTTCAAAGGACTTATAAAACTTATGTAATTACTGTATGTATTTTCCCTTTCGAAATATGTGCATTTTATAAATTCAAAACAGAAATCTCCTCATTGATTTATAGATTTTGCAAGGTTCCTCTAGAATTTTCCACTAGGATATTTAAGTGTATATCTCACAAATTTAAGGAAATGAGATGGAAATGACATATTACAATCAGTCAAATATCCAAAGTCCAGATTGCAGATGCTGAGGCTCTACTCATAAGTGACAGAACACCTGGAAATTATATATTCTCTCTGTAGAAGCCTATGAACACTTGTATAGTTTACAGCATCCCATGAACTAAACACATTTTCTCTTGCAACAAATCTGATGAAGAA